GCCACTGCACTCCAGTCTGGGCGATGGAGTGAGACTCCAACTCAAAAAAAAAAAAAAGAACAGCTACATTGGTCGCATCCTTGCCGCAGGCCAAGTATCACTCTAAGTATTTCACAAGTGTCCATGCATCTGATCCTCTCAGCAACCCTGCAGGAGGGCACTCATCACCCCATTCGACAGACAAGGAGAGCAAGAACAGAGAAGATGACTAATGTGCACAGGGTCCCCGACTGAGTGGAAAGGCCAGGATGCAGCCTCGAGCAACCTGGCTCCAGGCTGGGCTTTTAACCAGCAGAACAGGAGGCCGCCCAGAGGATTTAAGCCACACACGACATCCAAGTAAATGTAGCCTCCTGAACCATGCTCTGGAGAGTGTGTCTCAAATTCAATTAACACTAAGTGACTACCATGTACCAGGTCCTCCACTCTGTTGCCCGGGCTGAAGTACAGTGGTACACTAACGGTCACAGCAGGCTTGACCTGCTGGGCTCAGGGGACTCTTCCACCTCAGCCTTCCAAGTAGCTGGAAATACAGGCACACATATTCACACCCAACTAATGTTTTGCTTTATTGTAGAGACAAGGTCTTGCTATGTTGCCCAGGCTGGTCTCAAACCCATGGGCTCAGGCAATCCTCTCACTTCTGCGTCCCAAAGTGCTGGGAGGGAAGAGAGAGAGAGAGAGAGGAGAGAGATAGATGGTGGGAGTGAGGGAGGGAAGCAGAGACAGAGAGATAGAGAAGGTGCTAGAACTATAGGCATGAGCCACTGTGCCTGGCCAAAATCTTTTCAAGAAAACTGGTCGGGGTCCAAGTTAATCATTCAATGTGTAGACCCTAAAATGTGCCCACGGTCCAAAGCAATTCAGCATCTAAGCAGCTTTTTCCTCCTTCCTCTGTTTCTGCGGCTGAGAACCCTGGATGGATTTGCACTTCCAAAAGGTTCACCCGAGTTTCAGGTGCATAGACAGAACTGTCCACACATATGACTGGTGCTGTGACTCCACCTTGCCCAACACACCACAGCGTGCCCGTGCCCATGCAGTCACCAAGAGCCTGGGACTTACGGTTTCACAGTTCAGGCAGCGCGTCTCATTGGTGAGTGTCCCCTGAAATATCTCGTGGACCCAGGTAAGCTCTGCCTTGTTACTCTCTGCAGGCTCATTCATGTTGCCATTTTTTAATTTCCCATTTTGCTTTTCCTGTTTCTTCTCTTCTTGCAAGATGTCCGCGATAGTGTTTAGCAAATAATTTAAGAATTCGTGAGCATCCTGCTGCATGTAGTTATCGAAGAGATCTGGAAAAGAGAAGGCTGTTACCTCAGTCTCTGGTTCTCAAAAAAGCAGCTGGACATGCACAGTTCCCACTCCCTCCCCCAACACCAGGTGGGTGGGCCCAGGACAGAGACACCTTCATCTACTTGGAGCGGCCTCCATGAGGACGCCTCCAAAGATTCTTCCTTCAGTTCTTGCCACCTACCAAGAACTAACTTTTCCGAACTTCCCTAAAGTTCTCACACTTACAAAAGGTGGTCAACAGTTGTACTTGGTCAGACAAAGACAGACTTTGCCTGGTAAATTCCCTGATAAAATGTTCATTTTGGGGGGGTGTGTTGGAGTCCCACTCTTGCTGGAGTGCAGTGGCACGCTCACAGTCACCACAGCCTCAACCTGCTGGGCTCAGGCGATCTTTCTGCCTCAGCCTTCCAAGTAGCTGGAACTACAGACTCACGCCACCATGCCTAGCTAGCTTTTCTGATTTATTGTAGATAAGAGGTCTCATCAAGTTGTCCAGGTTGATCTCAAACCCCTGGGCTGAGACAATCCTTTTGCTTTAGCCTCCCAAAGTGCTGGGATTACAGGCTGTGCCACTGCATCCAGCCAAGAGTCCTTATTTTTTCGAGTTAGAATCTCACTCCAACCCAGGCTGGAGTGTAGTAGCATGCTCACGACCACGCCAACGTTGACCTGCTGGGCTCCAATGATCCTTCTGCTTCAGCCTTCCAAGTAGCTGGAAATACAGGCGCACTACCATACCCAGCTAAATTTTTTTTTATTTACTGTAGAGATGAGGTCTCACCAAGCTGCCTAGGCTGGTCTCGAACCTGCAGGCTCTGGCAATCCACTCGCCTCAGCCTCCCAAAGTGCTGAGATTACAGGCTGAGTCGTCGAGCCCCAGCCCAAGCGTCCATTTTTAATATGATGCAACTACCCAATGAGCAATTATTCATTGGGTCACCTACCCAGAGCAATGGGGCTCCCCTAGGTGTTGTGCTCAACCCTGGACCAGGCCAGAGGTTGCTCCTGTGAAAACTCTGAGGCGGCAAGGAAACCATGTGGCATGTCTGAGAGTGTCAGAAACCACACACAGGCGACTCCAGAAGTCGACTGCTGTCCCTGCCATGAGGACAAGCCACCAGGAGAGGATGCCACCGTGGAACCTCAGCATTGATCACGCTCACACTCAACCCACAGTGCTCTGCACCCTTCCCTACTTAAATTACTTTTATTCTGGTACGTATAAATTATAACGTCAAAAGACAGCAATCACAGTAACAGGGACTTTATAAAACAAACATCTGGGGTGGGTGTGGTGGCTCACATCTGTCATTCCAGCACTTTGGGAGGCCAAGGCAGGAGGACTGCCTGAGCCCAGGGGTTCAACACCAGCCTGGGCAATAAGTCAAAAAATTAGCAGGACGTGGTGGCATGCGCCTGTAGTCCTTAGCAGAAAGACTGCTAAGCCCAGGAGGTCAAGGCTACAGTGGCCATGAGTGTGTCACTGCTCTCCACCTGGACAACAGGAGACTCCAACTCAAAATGAATAAGGTAACACAAAATGGAACACAGCTGTGCGTTTGAGCACATGGCTCATCCAGCTTCATGTGCTGGATGTGGGGAGGGAGAAAGCAGTGTTTCCCAGCAACGACACGGAGCCCCGACCTGCCTCGCTGTTCCTGGGCAAAAACTCCCCCTGTGCACAAGGGTCTCCTTACCATTCTCCTTTCTCAGCCGTGAGATGAACTTCTTGGGCGGGATGACGCCCACCTTCTTCTTCTGCGTGGCGATGCTGTGGAACAGGTCAGCCAGACACGTCAGCAGGCTCTCTTTCTTCTTCTGCTGGGCCTTGTACGCCAGCACGTTCTCCCGGAATGGCCGGCAGAAGTACAAGGCCTGTAGCACGGAGTTGCAGTAGCATGTGTTCCCAAACTGCAAGGACACAGGCACTCAAGTCACCGTGGGGGTCCCAAGGGAGAGCAGGCAGGCCTCCCCCTCTACCCGGCCCTGACGTCCCAGTGCCGAGTCTGGCTCTCCGAATTAGAAACCAGTCGGTGACTCTGAACACCCAACTCTCCAAGCAACAGACACATGAAGAAAACACACACAATTCCAGGGCCTTCCCAGTCATCATAGCCTCTAAAGTGACAGGAACCACACTCTGCCTCAATAAAAAGCCTCCTGAGGCTGGGCATGGGGACTCATGTCTGTCATCCCCAGCACTCTGGGAGGCTGAGGTGAGAGGATCACTTGAGCCCAAGAGGTCAAAACCAGCCTGGGCAACATAGTGAGACCCTGTCTCTGCCAAAAAAAAAAAAAAAAAAAAAAAAAAAGTCTAAGTGTGGTGGTGCACCCGTGGTACCTGCTACTTGGGAGGCTGAAGTGGGAGGATTGCTCAAGCTCAGGAGGTAGAGGCTGCGGTGAGCCATGATTGTGCCACTACACTCTAACCTGGGCAACAGATCAAGACACTCAACTCAATAAATAAATAAGAGTCTCACGAGACCTTCTGGAGCTTAAAGACAGAGAGAGAGGGGAGGAGAACATCTCTGTAATACAGAGACCGGAGGCAGCTGGCTGAATAAAAGACCCTGCCCTGTGGCATAGCAAACCCCAGAAAGGGAAAACGACATCGAGTCAGAGAGACCTGTGACAGGTGAACAACCCTGACTGAACAGGGCCAGTCTCTATCACTTTCAATAGCCCAGTACCAGCCCACCAGCTCCGACAGCCTCCCCTCCCTTCCCTCAGAGCCACAGAGGTCAAAAGGCGCTCCCTCACCATCACCTCCCAGTCTTTGAACTTCTAAACTGCCCCTGATCTTTGTGCAGGGGGGGTGGGGGGGGCAGGCAGGGGTTGGTGGTTCTCACTCTGTCGCCCAGGCTGGAGTGTAGTGGCATGATCACAGCTCACCATGACCTCAATCCCTGGGCTCAGACAATCCTCCTGCCTCAGCCTCCCAAGCAGCTGTGACTACAGGAATGTGCCACCACACCCCTCTAACTGTTGATGTTTTATAGAGACAGGGACTTGATATGTTGCTCAGGCTGGTCTTGAAATCCTGGACTCAGGCAATCCTCCTGCCTTAGCCTCCCAAAGTATTGGGATGACAGGCTTGAGCTACCGTGCCCGGCCTGTTCTTGATCTTGTTTCTGCCAACATGGGAAGTCTTCCAATACAAGACCACCCAAACTCCTGGACTCCTGTGCAGCACTGGAGCCCATACAGTGACATTTCACATGTCTCACAATGTATGAATACCGAGATTATGGTTACAGGGGAAAGGCTGCACTGGTTTTCAGCCGACTATAAGACCAGCACCAGAAGAACACAGCTGGGATCATCACCCCAGAATTTTTTGTATACAGTAAAATGAAAAGAAAACACTCTAAGAAAATAACAAGATTAATAGCAGGGATTACAAAATGCGACGTAAGAGTAAAAGAGAAAATGAACACCCTCTCAAGACTGGCTGCTGACGGAGTGTCGTTTCCCTAGGAGCGAGGCACACTGGGCCATGCCTGACGTGATATTTCCATGTACGCTGAGACAGAGGCTTCCCATGTTTACATTTTCATCTACTTGACACAATCATGTAACCAGAGATAAGCATACTGGTACAGAGAAGTTAAGTGACTGTTCCTAAGGAACACACATGAAGCTGTCAATAAACACAGATTGCCCAATTCTTCCACAAACTAGGAATGGCCTCAGCTCTTTTGTTCTCCACAATCTGCATCTGTGTCTTCCCTGGCCGGGGCAGAATCCCCACGTCTTGAATAACTACCTCCACAGAGACAGTAGGGGCTTGCACAATGGCTAAAAAGTTTGTATTAAAATTAGATATCAGAGCCGGGCGTGGTAGTTCATGCCTGTCATCCAAGCACTTTGGGAGGCAGAGGCGAGAGGACTGCCTGGGCCCACGGGTTCAAGACCAGCCTGGGCAACTTGGCAAGACCTCGTCTCTCCAATAAATCAAAAAACTTAAAATTAGCCAGGCATGGTGGTGCATGCCTGTAGTTTTAGCTACTTGGAAGGCTGAGGCAGAAGGATCGCCTGAGCCCAGCAGGTCGAGTCTGTGGTAGTTGTGAGCATGCCCCTGCACTCTAGCCTTGGTGACAATGAGACTCCTACTCAAAAAAAAAAAAAAAATTAGAAGTCAGGCCAGGCCAGGCATGTTGTCTCAAGCCTGTAATCCCAGCACTTTGGGAGGCCGAGGTGAGAGAATTGCCTGAGCTGGCGGGTTCATGACCAGCCTGGGCAACATGGTGAGACCTCATCCCTATAATAAATCGAAAAAGTTAGCCAGGTGTGGCAGCATGTGTCTGTAGTTCCAGTTACTTGGAAGGCTGAGGCAAAAGGATTGCTGGAGCCCAGTAGGTCGATGCTGGGGTGGCTGTGAGCATGCCACTGCACTCCAGCCTAGGCAATGGAGACTCCAACTCCAAAAAAAAAAAAAGAAGTCAGGCCAGGGATGGTTATGCCTGTCATCCCGCACTCTGGGAGGCCAAGGCGGGAAGATTACTTGAGCCCAGGAGTTCTAGACCAGCCTGGGCAATCTTGTGAGACCTCATCTTTACAAAAAATAAAAATAAAAAAATTAGCCAGATGTGCTGATGTGAGCCTGTGGTCCCAGCTACTTGGGAGGCTGAGGAGGGAGAATCACCTGAGTCCAGGAGGTCGAGGCTGCAGTAGTCATGAGCATGCCACCGCACTCCAGCCTGGGTGACAGAGTGAGACTCCAACTCAAATAAATAAATAGATTAAATCATCCCCTCTCCAACATCTTCCCCTTCTAACTAAAAAATGTGAGCAGCTATTTAAAAGCGAGTAATGATGAATTCGCTAAGACTGGATAACAATGAAGCATGTAAATACTCACATTGACCAATCCGAAGTAGTGCTCATTGATTGGAAACTGCTCTGGGCCAATGTCTTTTTCCAGAGCAGAGGCATTGGTGCCCTAGGAGAGAAAACAACACAAGTTCCATGATGGGTGAAACAGACCGGGGAAAGTTGTCACCACACGTGTCTCCCAGTCAGTAGGGCCTGCAGCCGCATCCTGCTGAAAGAGGAGGCCAGAGTCAGCCAGAAGAGTGTCACAAGTGTCACTTGCTCCTCACCCGCACACTTGTCCTCTCAGCCCTGACTGCTCGCTACCAGGGAAGGTCTGACCTGGGCAAATGTACAAACAGCCACAAGGCTTGCAGATAACACCCTGCCTTTCGGACAGCAGCAGCTTCTGGGGGACCCAGTGGTCTGTGAGCCACCTCTACTTTCAGAGTCAACTTCTCTGTTCAGATGAAACTTCACTGCACTTTTCACCAGTCGGACACGGCTCCCAGGTTCAGGCAGAGATGACAGAGAACGACAGACAGAAGCTGCCCACATGGAGCCCACGCTTAGGTGGGTGAGGACAGCCTGAAACAAAAATCAAGGACGTCAGCTTCTAAAAGATGACAGAGAAATGAAGAGAAGTCAGGTCGGAAATGGGGATGGAGAAGGTAGGGCAGGGGCCAAGGGGACACAGATGGGAGGACAGAGGGGACAGGGGTGGCGGGGATGAGGGGATACAGGCAGGAGAGGGCAGAGGGAACATGGATGGGAGGTGGAGGGGACATGAGTGGGAGGGAACATGGGCAGCGGGGGTAGAAGGGGCTCGGGTATTGTGGGGTCAACAGCCCGCCTCTGGATGCAGTGGCTGAACAGCCTCCTGAGAGGGTGAGCGTCCCAGGAATGTCGTGAGCAACGGCGAAATGAACCCTAGAATCCAGCAGTCCCCAAGTGCATTGCACCACAGGCCCCGGATCTCCACCATGACCCAACTGCTCCTGGATCCTCATCCCCTGCCGGGGACTGTGCTACGGCCCCTCAAGGACCCCGTGAGGTTAAAACTACGATCCACAAACCCCAGAGGGAGAACGGGACACTCAGCAGGGTTGGCAAATCGGCCCACGGTCCATGGTCAGCAGGCGGCAGGGCGGGGGTTTGAGCCCACCAGTCAGACTGGGAGTCCACGACCTACCAAGTCCCTCGGAGCAACCCTGCCAGTCACACCACATCCGAGGCCACTCAGGGCCGACTGCCGGTACTCAAGGACCGCGGCTGGCAGACTCAGCTGGGATGAGAAAAAAGTGGGCCCCACGCCATCAGGAAGGTCAGCAGGCTGAGGAGTGGGGGGACCAGGCTCCGCCCCCTTCCAGAAGGCTCGACTACCGCCTCACCTTCTCAGGCTGTCACAGAAGATATGCTGCTCACAGCAACTCAGAGATTTAAGGACAGGTATTATAGAAAGAATAAAAGACTTTGGCCAGGCATGGTGGCTCATGCCTCTAATCTAATCACTTTGGGAGGCCAAGGCAGGAAGACTACTTGAACCCATGAGTTTGAGACCAGCCTGGACAACATAGCGAAACCTTGTCTCTACAAAAAAATTTAAAACTTAGCTGGGCATGGTGGTGCACGCCTGTAGTCCCAGCTACTGGGGAGGCAGAGGTGAAGGATCACCGGAGCCCAGGAGGCCAAAGATGGGGTGATCCATGATCGTGCCACTGCACTCTAGCCTGGGCAATAGAGTGAGACTGTCTCAAAAAAAAAAGGAAACTTTTTTTTAAAGTAACCTACTACCACTGCTTACTTAGTCTTGACTCATGTCACCAGCGTGTCCTCTTCCTGGAAAAAAAAGGTCAAAACACAGGCTGAGAACCAGCTAAAATGGCCATGTGTCACCAAGCAAGCCTAAAATGCAAATCCCAACCCTGAGCCCACAGACCTGGAGGATTGGCACAGACGTCCTCGTCACGACACCTGTCTACATCTGACTTCCAGGTCTGACTCTCCCTCAAGTCCACAGAGCCTTGTCCTGCCCTCCGGCCATGAGCTCAGTGGCCACAGGAGCAAGATGACTTGGTGTCTGTTCTCTGGGGTGTGAGTGGGGGGTGCGTCACCATCACAGCAATGAGTGTCACAGACCAGGCTGAACTTCTGAAATAACATTCATGACTCATGGCAGGATTGTAGGGTGGAGACAAAGATCACTGAAAGTCTTCACCGGAGTTCTACCTCAGTCACACCAATGCAATAATGCTAATAAAATGCAGCCATGGTCACTTTTCAAGCAAAATTTGAACATGCGGCTTAGGGCCCCGAAGGCATGCCAGATATGAGACAACACATAGAGACGCTAAACCTTTCTTTACGAGGCAATAGGCTCAAGCAAGCAACGCCAGGGCTTGGGCGATTCAGGAAGTCCAATGTCAGGTTTGTTTCTTTCCACCTATCGTGATATGTCCCCATCTGGGGAGGAGGGGCCTAGGCGGGAATAAGGATGGTGACCCAGGCTGGTGCTGAAGAGAGGGAGAGGCAGGGGCCAAGAGAACACTGCTCGGTGTGAGGGACAGCAAACTCAACTCCAGCCTTCCCCGCCTCCAGGGTCACCACATGCTGGGACACCCAGGGACACCACTCGGCATAATGGACAGCAAGCTCAACTCCAGCCACACCCGCTCTCCCGGGTCACATGGGCTGGGACACCCAGGACACCACTTGGTGTAAGGGACAGTGAGTTCGACTCCAGCCCATCCGCCCTCCCGGGTCACCAAGTGCTGGGACACCCAGGACATTGCTCGGTGTGAGGGGACAGCAAGCCTGACTCCAGTCCATCTAAGTGTGGCTTCACAGGATGGAACCTATTCTTCCCTTCCATGTAAATATTCAAAGGATGAGACAGATCTGAATGCTGGGACGCAGGCTCCTCCTATCTGGTGGTGCCATCTTCCTCAGGAGTAGTTCCCATGGGCCTGAACACTGGACACGTGGGCACAGGCAGGGATGAGATGCTGGGCACAGCTGAGGAAGGGAGGGAGGGAGAGAGGGGGACAGGGACACATGACCACCCGTGGGCACCACGTCTACTCCCAGGGAGCCAGGGCTGGCTAGATGCCCAAATTACATGTAGTTTGCATATGTAGAGGATCCTCACACCTCTAAAATAAAATACATAAATGAAAAGAGTGGTTTCTCCTTGGAAGCACTGGCTACCCTAGCTTCTGCCCTCAGGTGAGCTCCTGCCAGGGGCACACTGCGATAGTAATGAGGCCAGCGCACCCTAAGAACAGCCCCACAGCCAAAGATGAACATCCAGAGTTCTGCACTCGGCGATTCTGGGCAGCCAGCCCGGAGGTACAGTCCTCATCATGAAGGCTACCTGGACCCTGTCCGCTCCTTGGAAGGTGAACGTGCAAGCCCTCTGTCTTGGGCTGGGTAGAGGGTGCATGGTGGAGAGTGCCCAGTGAAGACTTCTATATGACTGTATGCTTCTGAGGTGGCCAGTCGCTCCTGGGGCTCCCCTGTGTGAAAGTCCCCAGGCAACCTCTGTCCTGCTCGTGGTCTCCAGGTCTTATCCTTCAGCTTCTTGGGCCCAGTGCCATCCCTACTCCATACAGCAGGGGGAAACACAAAAAAGGCAAGGACGTGTTGTTTCTGTCACCATCCTGCCAGCCAGGATCTAGCCTGGACACACAGCCCATAGCACTGTGAGGAGACTGGCAGGCGGATTTCACCTAGGCACATGACCAGTAAACATCTCTGCAGAAATGAGAAATGGTATTGTGGGCCACTCGTCAGACAGTGCTCAGATGTCCTTGCAGCAAGATTTAGGGCAAAAAATTAGAAATAACATGAACCGATTAAAAAATTACAGCAATCCATATGATGGAATCCCATACAGCTATTCTAAAAAGTTACCCTATAGGTACTGCTTAGAAAGTCTAAGATGCAGCAATAAGTAACAACATGCTACAGAGTAACAATGTGTACAGGTCAATATTGTAACAACACATCACCGAGTAATAATGTGTGTAGTTGAAGACTGTAACAACATGTTATAGAGTGACAACATGCATAGGTCAATACTGTAATGGTCGCTCGCTCAGTCAACAGACACCAAGATAGCGCAGAGGACAAAGCTGGGGGTGTCACCAGCACTGTATAAATTGTGACATGCAATACTAACCCAAGGACCCCACGTCTGCTGCGAGTGCCCAGCACAAGCCACAGAAGACAACCAGGCCCAGAAAAACAATCCTTACACAACCAGATGTGAGCAAAGGACATATGTGGGGGGACATCGTGGTCCGCCAGCGGGAGAGACACAGGGCTCTTCTTTCTGTCAGTAAAACCTGGGTGACCTTTGAAACGAATGCAGCAACTTTATTAAAAACAGTGTCTAGGCTGGGCCAAGTCCCATCAACAAGATGATAATGTAGCTCTCAAGAGTGCTTGGAAAGCGATTCTGCGACTTAAGGTGTGACCAGAACAAGACAAACAACCACAAAAACCCAGGAAAGGCGAGTAATGCCTACGATGGTATGGAAAACAGCGTTTTCCAATGCAGTTTATAAGGAAAACAAGGGAGAATGTCATCCTTGGGCAGGAAAAAGGATGGAGACAGATCCTCACCCAGAGAAAATAATCAGAACAACGGCACTGCCAGGTCTGTAAACACCAAGGAGAACTCTGCCATAGGGTGGGTAGGGGGGTCTGAAACAAAGCCCCAGGGGCCAGAAGGTCCTTGGAGAAGGGCTGGACCACGGAGAGACAGCAGCCAGCGAGGGAAGCCTCCCTGCCCAGGCTCCTCAAGGCACTCACGGATCGGCATCCTCCAACCACAGCCTCCTTCAGGTTTCTACAACGAGGAGTGAGAAAGGCCAAGGCCAGCACGTGGGGCCTTCTACGTACACAGAAGGCAAGTCAGTAGTTACAGACCACAACTCAGAGCAGACGCAAAAGAGATCGATGTGCTGCCACAACCACATTTTCAGGCCCACATTCAAAAGGCAGCTCAACTTAACAAGTGTGATTTCAAGGTACGAAAGTGCATAGGCTGGGTGTGATGGCTCACGCCTGTCATTCCAGCACTTTGGGAGGCTGAGGCAGTAGGGTTGCTTGAGCCCAGAAGTTCAAGACCAGCCTG